GCCCCGACTGGTGGAGGGCTGCAGTGATGGTTGACTTTCTACAACTTTCTCCCATCTCCTGACTGCATCTCTGGAGCTCAGCCACAGTCATCTTTGGGTTCTTCTGTACCTCTCTCACCAAGGCTCTTCTCCCCCGATAGCTCAGTTTGGCCGGACTGCCAGCTCTAGGAAGGGTTCCGGCCGTCTCAAACGTCTTCCATTTAAGGATTATGGAGGCCACTGTGCTCTTAGGAACCTTAAGTGCAGCAGAAATTTTTTTTGTAACCTTGGCCAGATCTATAAATCTGCAAAAATGTCAAAAATTCTGTGTTTTTCTGTCAGTATGGGGTGCTGTGTGTACATTAATGAGGAAAAAAATGGACTTAAATGATTTTAGCATATGGCTGCAATTAAACAAAGAGTGAAAAATTTAAGGGGGTCTGAATACTTTCCGTACCCACTGTATATTTGGGTCCAATCAAGGTAAAAAGAGTCTGTCCTGTCCAAACGCCAATGAATACAAATAGGTCTTCAAATATGATTTAAAAATGGGCAACGAGGGGGCCTGCCTCATATAAAGAGGCAATGCATTCCACAAATTTGGACCCACCACAGCGAAAGCTCTATCCCCCCTAGTTTTCTGCCTGGCCCTCGGTGCCTCCAGAAACAGCTGATCAGCTGATCTAAAGCACCACCTTTTTGATTTAACAAACAAACCAACAAACACCAGCAAAAACATGGAGGTAATAGGAGGGAGTATACTGGTAATGTTTCCGCCCCAGATTACCAGCATTTGAACAAGTCAAGGTCACCATCGGGGAGCTCCAGCCCGGTACTGTGGAATTATATTGATTTAGTACACCCATTTTAGAAATGGGTAAAATTTCTAAAATTTGTCAGAGGTGTGACTGATTTGGGGATACAAATCAGGCAACATCTGTGCAATTTCTGTTCAGCTTACTGTATCCATGTTGACCCTGACAATCAGGCAGCAACATCTCCAGATGCTTCATCCACAGTCGTAGATAAAGTAAATAGATCATTCAACTGTGGTTAAATATTTGCTGTGGTAAAAAGTTATGATTTCTGCCAGGCTCACAAGTTCCACATGCTAAGTTGGGCCTACCCTGTCTTACATTCCCATTGCAATAGAAAGTACCTTAGACATGTCTGTGTTTGCCAGGCCTGTAGCTACTAAACCTGGAGGAGAGAGAAAACATGGTTTGATGATTAACCTTGGAAAAAAATGGCATGTAGATAAGCAGTGTGTCAAGTCGTATTAAAGACTTGCTTTCTATATAATCTCAGTTCCTTAAGGCCCCAAAATGCACGCATCTATGGCCTTCAAATACATCCTATGTTTTTATAAATCCTTCAGATCTTCGTCCTACTGCTGAACACAGTGAACCCCCTCATTAGTGACTCAAAACACATGCAATTATGTCTGCACTACTGTACTGTAAGTAGGCTTTCCCATTGGCCCTGGCTTGAGTCAGAATTGTTTTGGTTTCAGTGATTTGGAAGGTTGGCTTCTGAAAGTTGCTGAGGAAACACTGAAGGGGTGCAACCTCATTCCTCAGCTATGCCCGCCCCCCTCTTCTACCACCTTGCACCACAACACACTTCATATCTCTGTAGATGATTTGGACCATGTTTAGTTATTGTCTGCATATGAGAAGACTCATTTAATAAAAAGTTTAATTAATTGAGCAGTTTTCTCTCTAAATACTTTTTGCCTTTACTGAACTTCTTTATTGACACATCCCCCTTTCCCTTTAGTAAAAAAATGAGGGTGAATTTCCATCCTATGGTTGGAAAGTTGCTACTGTACATATTTAATTTCTTTCTTTCCTTTTAGTTTTCTTTCTCATGTTCCATTTAAGCATGATAGGAATTCATCTGAAGAACAAAGAGGTAGCAGAGTTCAGCAGTTAAGTTCAATCATGGGCTAGTTTCTTCAGCACTGTTAAACTGTTGGGACAGGATTTTACCATGGTGTATATGATAGTCATTCATTTAAGTATACATTGATTTGTAAAACTGTTCAAGGATTGTTAAAACTGGGATTAAATTGGAACATTTTCATTTATATGAGGTCCAGTAAATTATATTATTTACTTGTGTTATCCATTTAGTAAGTTTATTAGAATTATTTAGCACTAAGTGTTGTCTGAACAGCCTAGCTCAGAATAAAGCAAGTAGCCTTGGTTTGTACATATTGTATGTTGCTCTTCATGTTGGGGCATTGATTGTTATTTGGACAAGGTGATAATATTTATGTAAAATTTTAACATGAACTATGAAAGCGGGAAAGCTCAATTGTCATCATAAGACCAGTTATTTTTGGTGGGAGAGATTTGGCCCATGGAATGTTATTTGCCTACCACTGATTTCAGAGGACTAACGCGTCCATGTTTAATTAATTGAACATTTTCACAAAGGTGTCAAACACTCAGCAGAATCTAAATATATTTAGAAATTTGAGAAAAGCCAACCTCAGTGCACAGCTACACTAAATAAATAATCCAGGAGCGCTCCTATACTTGCTCCTATACTCCTATACACGCCTACTATACTTGTGTTAAAAGCTTGGCTTTCTTAACCCTGAACACTGAATTAAGAAGAGACTCATAAGACTCATGCACCTGTACATAACACCAGCATCTAGACCATAAAGGTTAAGCACATTAAGTCATTTCATTATTTTGTGTTGATAGTAGTGTATCCAATAGTGTTATGACAACCAATGTTTGGACCACTTGAACATTTTCTTTGAGTCTGTATATAGTTACCATGTGCTACTGTTGTCCCTGCAGATGACGTCATGGGAGAAGTAGGGGACAAAAAAGTGAGTTAGGGAGGGCAACTTTAGCCAGAGCCACAGCTGTCAAAATTTGAGTAAAATCCTGGGTTTAAAGATGAGTAATAACTTGATAGGTTTGACAAGAAATAAAACTTAGCATTCAACA